ACAAGAGAGACATGGCACTCCTGGAGAGAGTCCAGCGGAGGGCTACCAAGATGATGAGGGGACTGGAGCATCTCTTGTCTGAGGAAAGGCTGCGAGAGCTGGGCCTGTTCAGTCTGGAGAAGAGGAGATTGAGAGGTGATCTGATCAATGTCTACAAGTACCTGAAGGGAGGGTGTCAAGAGGATGAGGCCAGACTCTTCTCCGTGGTGCCTAACGACAGGACAAGAGGCAATGGGCAGATACTGAACCACAGGCAGTTCCATCTGAACCTGAGAAAAAACTTCTTGACTGTGAGGGTGACAGAGCATTGGACCACGTTGCCCAGAGAGGTAGTGGAGTCTCCTTCCCTGGAGATATTCAAAACCCGTCTGGATGTGATCCTGGGCAATACGCTCTAGGTGACCCTGCTTGAGCAGGGAGGTTGGACTAGATGATCTCCAGAGATCCCTTCCAACCTTAACCATTTTGTGATTCTGTGATTCTGTGAGATGTAAATCCAAAAGCCCGAACTCCATTTGTTCTTTCTAGGTTTATTTCTTCTCATTTATAAAATGAGCATGTACCTAGTTTTGTCACCTAGCTGCTAGTTAAGAGCGCCAGCATAAGAACATTGAAGAAAGAAATCCTCTGATGATTCATAGAAGAAACACAGTGAAAATTTCAAAAATTCAAGTTACCATGCACCTTCAGTACAGGTTCCCTGGTAATATTTTAAATAAGAAAACATTTCACGCTTGTAGCCATTTGGTTCTTAGCTGCTAAAGCTTCATACAATACTGACTGCATGGCCAAATATTGTACTGGCTTTGCCATGCAAGCATTAGTTCACAATGATTTGTGATTAGATCACAGCTAATTTTCTGCCAAACAGCCAACAATTATTCATGAATTTCAGTCATTAAAATCCAGCCTGAATTTGTCCTGGATTCCTGATACCCAGGATATTTTCCAGCTCAGATGACTGGTTCCTGAGTCATGGGGAAAAAACTGCAAGGTTTGTGAGCTGCTGTATGTAATGCATGTTCTTTTTTGTACATTTCTGATGTGTCTAAGGATGCCTTGTCTTTTTATCTTTCTTAGTCACATATGCTTTTGGTTTTCAAGCATTTCATGTCAATTCTCACCTGTCAGATTTTATTACCCTCCGATACTTCCTTTAACTCTTCTCGTAGTGAAGATTTCAGGAGCAAGTTAGAAGTACTGTCAACATCTATATAGGAGACAAGAACAGAGAAATTATGTCTTTCCACGTTTCTCTGTAGGACCCTGTTGCACCTAGCCTTGGAACCAGACCACAAACAGTCCTTTCCAAGTTACAAATAGAGCCTGTCTCTTCAGCAGCCCTTCTGAGCAATATAAACTGTTTGGTAAGCCCCAAGTAGCTTGGAAGCTGGAAGCTGGCCTCCTTTGTGATGATTATGCAATGACTGGAAAACTATGAAAGGCCAGTGATTTTTCTCAAGCTACTGACTTCCTCAACCAATCATCTAGGCCCAAGTTCTCCTCCCAGACCATCCCAAGTAAGTGGACAGGCCCCAAGGAATCTTTTGGGGGATTAAGAGGAGTCAGAAACATCCTGCCTTGATACTTTAGCCTCAAGGCTGGCAGAGTATCAGTGATCCCTGTAGCCTCTTCTGAAGAAGAAAGACTGAAAATAGGGGTCCCCATAGGGTTTTATTCTGTAGCTCACAAAGAACTGTACGTTCATTAATCAACCCTAATGATTCTCCAAGATATGTTCACCTTAATGCTAATAGGTATATTGCCCCATAGCTGACACAGATTTTATGATATTTTATCTAGTACTATTGCACTTTCAGTGACTGGAAACCTTCCATGTAAGTTAATCTCCTGTCTGTCCTGAAAACAAGGTCAAGTATAGCATCAGTTTAATATATGGCACTACATCTGCAGATTTCTGTATCGTGCTGTTGTAGGGGACAGTTTCCAATTGTGCAGTCCTTTGCTACTATTAAATAGTGACATCTGCTTCAAGACAATGAAAACTATTTTGATTTGTCTCAGCTTCCATTACCCAGTTTTCCACTTTTCTACCTCCTCCATTTTGCCCCTCCCTCAATTAAATCCAACCTTTCCCTGCTTTCCAGGCCTCTGAGGGTAGGATTTCTTTGGTCTTATCTCTCTCTACTCCCTTTTTCCACTCAGTTCTACTGCCCTTTTTTCTTCTTACTCCTCAGACGTTTCTCTGCTGCTCTCAGTCCTTTGGCTTCTTTCAGTCAGCCTGAAAACAGTGTTTTACTTTCCTCCCTGAGCTTTTCCCATGCTCAATTAGACTTTTGAACATTCATTCCCTAGCAGCATTTATCAAACGTTTTTATTTTCTGGCTTTAATAGCCACTGAGACCACCTTCAGTGTTCTTTCCTAGCTAAACTAAAGGGTTTCTTTCAATTCAGATTCTCCTTAATACTGCCTTCAGGATCACTGACACTTCTCCACGGCTTCTTCCTTTCCACCTTATCCTTTGGTAAGTCTGTGCTCTCGGATTTCTACTTTTACCTCCAACTGTTCTTTTCAGCACCTCCTTTGGTAAATCCACCCACTCCCTCCCCACTATCTGTTGGCACCCTTCAGATTTTCACCCTGATTCCTCCTCCTTTTATCTTTATAGTCTCTATTTTGACTAACTCATCCTCCCAAACAATTTCTGTTACTTACAGTTTTTCCCCCTGTTGTGAATCTTTGCTTCTGACATGCTTTCTGTGATGTCATCCTGTCATCTCAAACCCTCTCTCTCTTCAGAGGAGAATTTCTTAGCTGTCCTGAATATTCTCTTTTCTCCCTTTTTAATTTATTCAGAATTTCACTGTCCTTGTCCTATAGTCTTAACGTCACCTTTAATTATTCAGCCTTTGCCTCTCCAACTCTTATTAAATCAAATAATTTTATTACATGTAACATTAGCAAGTCTACCCATGGCAACTTATCTTCATTGCTAAGATACCTGAAAACGGGCTGAACTGCGTTGTGGTCAGTGGCACAAAGTCCAGGGGGAGGCCAGTCAATAGCAGTGTCCCTCAGGGGTTGACACTGGAGCCAATACTGCTTGACCTCTTCATTAATGACCTGGCCTGAATGCACCCTCAGCAAGTTTGCAGATGACACAAAACCATGAGGTGATTTTGTGACTGAGACACCAGATAGTCGTGCTGTCGTTCAGAGGGACTTCACAAGGCTGGAGAAATGGGCATAGGGAAACCTCGCAAAGTCCAACAAGGGGATGTGCAAAGTCCTGCACCTGAAGAGGAATAACCCCATGCAGCAGTACAGACTGGAGCCTGACCAGCTGGAAAATAGGTCTGCATAGAAGGGGTCCTGGTGGACAACAAGTTAAATATGAGCCAGCAATGTGCCCTTGCGGCAAAGGCCGATGGCATGCTGGGCTGCGTTAGGCAGCATGTTGCTAACATGTTAAGGGAGGTGATCCTTCCCCTTGTGTCTAGGGCTGGGCTCCCCAGTACAAGAGAGACGTGGACGTACCGGGGTGAGTCCAGCAAAGGGCCGCAGAAATGATGAGGGAACTGGAGCATGTCTCATACTAGGAGAGGCTGAGAGAGCTGGGTCTCTCCAGCCTGGAGAAGAGATGGCACAGGGGGATCTTATCAATGTTTATAACTACTTGATGGAAGGGTGTAAAGAAGACAGAGCCAGACTCTTCTCAGTGGTGCCCAGTGGCAGGACAAGAGGCAAGGGTGCAAACTGAAACACAGGAGATTGCACTTGAACACAAGAAAATGTTTTTTCACTGTGAGGATGACTGAGTGCTGGAACAGGTTGCTCAGAGAAGCTGTGGAGTCTCCATCATTGGAGATATTCAAAACCCGACTGGACACAGTCCTGGGCAGGCTGCTCCAGGTGACCCTTCTTGAGCTCAGGTGTTGGATCAGATGATCTCCACAGATGCCTGCCAACCCCACCTATTCTGTGATTCTGTGGTACCAGTCCATTTTTGCCCTCATTTCCAGTCATCCTTTTGCTGTTATCTAAAACAAATATTCAATATTCTTAACTCGTCTTCATTTACTCTTTCCTAATCATATCTTCTCCTAATCTGAATCATTTCACCTGCTTCATAAGTCTTGCCACATAATTCTTTTGAATGCATTGGATAATCTGCTTCTCCAAGATCCTCTTTGAATTAATCTACAATTCCCCTCGCCTCTTTTTTTCCTCACAGGGTCCTCATTTCCTTAACACCGTCTCTTTTTTTATTTTTTTTCCAGGCTTCTTGCCATCTCAGGAGGAGTAAATATTCTGGGTCCTGTTTCTTCATCCTATTTCTGCCATTAGCATGCTGATTAGTGCCCTCAATGCTGTCCTGATGCTCACACCTAGTACTACCACTGGCATGCTAGAAGGACTGAAGTCATAAACAATAGGGTGAAGCTTCTGAACTGAATTTATGCTCTTGTGATTCAACACTAATTTATTTAAATTAGTCTCCAAAAGTTTCATGTCACCACTTGTGGTCTGGTTCACCTGTGGTTAGTATCCTTTTGTCTCGTCAGTCCAAGGAGACGGAGAGCAAAAAGACAATAAGGAGACAGTTTTTCTATATTTGCGATATGGATCGTGTTGGATGAAGGAATAGTCTCATATTCCTTTATGAGAAAAAGTAAGTACTCCCCTGCAGAAGCCAGCTGGGAACATTAAAACAGTGCAACCGGAACACGTAGCCAGCATTTTGCCCCTGAAATAAGCAGTATGACAAGTATTATCTTAGTCTTTTTATGTACTGTTTTATAGGATTGTCCTTCATTTTATCTTATAGCAATAATGTTCATGGCATCCTAACAAAAATGGCTTTTGCAGTTATTAAAACGCTGAGGTGTTTACTCTCAAATTCTTTGTTACAGCGTTTTCTTTTCTCTTGGGCACCAATCTTTAAAGAGATGCATCAACAAAATAGAATGCTACTGACTTAGTTCTGCCACTTTCTAATTCTAATTGCTCGGATTGGTATAATGTCCTCATGGAGACAAAGCTTCATCTGCATTTTTAAGGACGATGTGAACTAGCACCTTTAATAGGTATCACACTAACAGCCCCAGAAAATGAAGCTCAGGTTATTATCTCAGAATACGCACGGTGCAGATTTCCTGGTATCGTCTTACCTCACTCTGAACTGCAGATACTGCCACCAGAGGAAAATACAATAGTTATTGCATTTGCTGCCTGGTTTGCCAGGCAGACTTTCAATCGTGGTGATAAGATTTGTGATAGAAACACCAGCACACTTTAAACTAGATGACACTAAAACCGTTGAATTCATTTATTGTAGGACACCAAGTAACCAGCAGATGATAATTTCCTTTTACAACTAGTCTCTTCTGGAATTTAACTGGTGAACTCCAGTGGAAGAATACTGTTATGTGAGATCTCTAGTTATATGATCTCCCCCATCCTTGACTGCTGCATTCATTTTCCTGCATCTTTAAAAGTTTCCGATATCATATTTGATTTGCATAAGGTAACAGTGTTTTTACAGCAAATGTATATACCATAAATGGATTAGTCATACATTTTCATAGCATTTTTTTAAACTACTGTATTAGATAACAATGAAAGAAAAAAATAAATAATGCAATATTAGCAAGATGCCTCCCACGTACCAGCTTGTGAGAACTGAAATGCTTTTCTCTCACCTTTGGGAGGAAAATACTTCCTATTTTGCCAATGTACACTGAAAATTCTAATACGTACTCACTGTTTCCTGCTCTGTGTCTGCAAAATGCTTTATACAAGCAGGCAGGATTACAGCCTAGCAAAAACCCTTAGAGTAAAAATAACTAGTAATTGAAATTTACTGGAGAACAGACAATGGAAATTGTTAACATTCAAGTGTGAAAAGTTCACCCAATTTTTAAATTTACCATATGCACAAATGTTAATTGCATTTTTAAACCCCTGAAGTCTGCAAATTTTAAGAGCATAAAAGAAACTATAGTAACCTGTTAGACACTTGTCCTTTTCTTAGACTTTTCTTTGGCACCCTAGATAAGTGAGTGCTAACAGAAAGGCTGACAACGCAAGTGCATTTCTGATGCAAAACACCAAGGACAGGATGAACAGTCAAACCTTTAAGAAAAGAATGGAGCCTTTTTGTTGTGGAAATGAAGCTGCGATAATGTTCCCAGACTATAAACTGGCAGACTAGAATAGCAAAAACCATAGGAGCTTTTTCAAATTCTTTATCAATGTCAGCAGATTTTTTTCCTCCTGTTGGGGTTTTAGCTAAGAAAAATGTGAAAATTTATGTGAACGGTTTGTTACTGTATATAGCTCTTAGCAACAAGGCTGGCGAACATAAAGGCAAACTTTTTATTGTCCATTCCGTGAGCAGATTAACACTATCAATGAGAGAAAATTCTGTGGACTGAGGTGCTCTGTTTCCAAAACTTAAATCCCATTTAAAAATGAGTTTGTCTCTACACAAAGTCATCATCTATTGACAAGAATATTTTGCATTTTTATGACTATCCACTTACATTGGTATTACTCACAGGGAATTAATACTTATGGGGAGGAGCAGCCTGTAGCAACTTCCACTAAGCATCTCGGTAATTTAATGCCATCATTATTGCTAATATTTGTATTATGTTTGTATTTCTAACAGTACCTCGAAGAGTGAGGTTGGTGCTGCTGTAACAGGAACCATAAAATCACATTAAGCCGGGACCTGAGTGAGCCTGTGATACCTGGGGTATGTTGTCAGCCCTCTTCTTCCCTGTCCCTGTAGCAGCTTTCTTCTTTCCTTCCTCCTCCACCACAGCCAAGTCCCTTTCTTCCCCATCCCCTACAAGGGAAGAATGGGATTTTCTTTATTTTTCTTCCTTGTCTCCTACTATGGGGGAGAAGGATGTTGTAAATTTTCCTGAGAGGTCAGCAAGTCAGGGGAGACAGAGATCGTAACCAATATTTATTAGCATGCATTTTATTAATTAAGCTGTTATTATTAATAGAATAAAGCTGCTATTATTAATAACAGATAACTATTTATACAGCACATTCAATTATTTCCCCTCCCCACAACCATTCATTAAACACAGCTGGAGCAACAGTTAAGAGGCCAGTCCCGGCTGTTAACTCAGAAGTGGAGAGTCATCCTGATGCACCAGTTGTTTCTAGGTGGGTGTCCAGAGTCTCTTAGAAGTCCCTTATTTCATCAGATAGATATAAAATCCTGTTGTCTGCATATAGCAGCCACCACCTTCTTGGATATAGTCCAAGTTATAAAACTCAGTGTTGATGCTAGTGCGTGCTGACGGCCTTGGACAGCTTCGGCAGACTCTTGCTGTTCTGAGTTCATCAGTTCTTCTGGATTTAACAGGGACACTAGTCTCCAGGGATTATTAGCTTTTCAGAGACTTTCACACACTACCTCTCAGCACATCCTTTTCCTCTCTTCAGCTTGCTGTTTTCTGGTAGCTGTTTCTTCATCCACACCCTTATGTAGCTGTAGAGCCCATTTACACAAAGTCTCCCAGAAAGGTCGTTTATGACAGGGATCGATACAGAGTATGCAGCTGCTGTTCTTATGTCCCCCTGCAGCGTGGTACATAAGAAGGATGTACTTTTTGTACCATCATGGTAAAAAATTCCCAAACAGGGTAAGTCTAGGCTGCATATTGCAACACTGCACGGAGCTAGCTCAAGCATCAAAAGCATCTTCACCAGACCACCACAGACCTTCATGTCTCTCAGAGAAGCCTGATAACTTTGCCTATAAGGATGTCCTCTTTAATAAAATATACCGTTTAAAGCTAGCAGAGGTAGCTCCATCCTGCACTGCTGCCTTCACTGCAAACATACAGTCAGACAGAGCGTTCATCCTGAAGACTACAGAATTATAACCAGGACATAATAAAGACAAACAGCAAAACGTGTACAGAGAAAGATCAAAATAAACCACAGGTCTCATAATCTAGCCTGGAGCATGATCCATTAGATCATGCTGCAGTGAATCAAACCTCCCCGTTTTCTTAACACACTGATTATTGCATACTTTTCCCTTAAAATATAAAACAGACCCACAAGATAGTTAAATAATCAACAAGTCAATGACAGATCTGGGCAAAAAGCCCAGAAATGCCTTGTGCCCAGTTGCCTGCTCTAACCATTAAGAATTCTTTATACTTTTTCATTGCTTTTTGATGAAATGACAAGTATTTTTAAATTCACCATCACAGAGGCTTCATTGCTGAAGACTTCTGACTCAATTCAGCTGAAGCAAGGCACAACTCCTACAAAGAAGGTCTGAATCTGGCCTCTCTCCTTCCCTTTGATGATTGCTTTTTCCACAAAGGCCAGCATATAGCTACCCTATGAAATATGAAACATGAACTACAGATATTTCAGCACTAATTATCTAACCCACCTTATCTGGTCTACTGAGGTATTACGCATGCTTGCATGCAAAGACAAGATCAAACTCCTTAGCTATCAGTAGGATGGAAATGTGACTAGTCTGCCTTTGTGTAATATTGCCAATTGAAGGACAAACTAGTTCTTCATGCATTTTTGCACTAGACATGGCCAAGAACTGGGGAAAATACACTTTACTAGTGATGTTACACAAGCTTTGCAGATACAGTAAGCCAAAAGAACAAAAATACCCACAACAGACAGAAAAGGAGCTGTCGCATTTTGTAGCAATATGCGGCTATTCCCTGAATCCATTGTACAGGGACTAAAATGAACTGTATAACAAAACTCTCTTGTTTTCCCATCTCTGAATAGTCATATTTTTCACTTGCAGCTGTATTTGTAACATTTTTGACCCAATCACCAAGCAATATATATGCAAGCAAGCAAGTCATAACACAGCTTCACTCTGGTATCACAGGCTTGCTGACCTTTCAGTCCCTTAACACATGAATTGCTTTAAGAAACTATTGAATATTTTCTAATCTTCTGTCATCGGAAATTTCACGCTCCTGGTGGGACACCGTAGACGTTTAATATAAACACTGCACGGTGTTCTGATTGATAGGACACGCTGTAACCCAGACAGCTTGCTGTGATGTAAAAAAATAACGCAAAACAAAACAGCCGTACAGCATTTTAAAGCAAACACTTTAGACGTCTGGTTTGGAGGCCAGCACGATTTTCCTCATGAAAGGCCAGGCTCCCATGGGGCAAGCTGAAGCACAGCGAGGGGTGCCCAGTAAGGTGCCCTCCCTAGTTGCCCTGCATCATTTCCCACAGGTTGGAAAGCACTGGGCTACCCTGATGCCACAGGGGACAAATAAGAGGATTTCCAGCATGGGAGGGCAGCTCTGTTGCAGTGCTGCTCCGGTAAAACCCTCTTCCTGGAGGAGGGACAGGACCTGCTCCTCCTCGGAGACACCATGGCCCTCTTGAAGGGAAGCCAGAGCAGTAATTCTGCTTATTATTTCTAATGCATTGCATAGAGACTAGATGAGAGCAGAGGGACTATGCTGTGGAAAGGTAGATCTCTGGGGCCTCATTCTGGTGCACAGTTTCTGCTAATTCCAAAATTTTATTTAGAAGTAGCTCAGGTATCTGATTGCCCCTGCAGCGAGCAGCACTGATATGTGCTTTGAAACCATGCAAGATCTACATTGGATTGGAGGGATTGGATTTAGTAACAGATGAAGTCTAACTTGAGCTATAGCACCCCTAGTGATTGTGCTGTTATTTTAAGCTAAAAAAAAGCTTAAACTTTGTCCATACACCATCTCCTACTATCAAAAACCTTTGTCAGGGGGTATTCTGATTTCACGTAGCTGGGCTGTCAAGAAGAGGATGTTGTAGCTCAGTGTTACCAATCCTAGCCAGGAGATGCAGTGAGGAAAATGGTGAGATGGCAGCAACTCAGTAACGCTAAATCCAACCATTCTGAAAATCGACTCTGTCATTTAAGCCAAGATGAGCTTGAACTACTGCTTGTGAGCTAGTCAGAGGCTGGTAAGGTGGGCTGAAAAATGACTGTCCAGGCACAGCAGAGTGCTTTGATTCAGGTGGAAGCTCCTGATGAACGAGTGAAGTGCCTCCACTCCTGTGCTAGCATGGTCTCACGTATTTCAGCCGTTCAGGCTGGACGCCCTGGGAACCGAGCTAGCCCAGGCTGAGGCCATGCACCTAACCCAAGGAACTCCAGTGTAAATGGAGTGGGATAAGGGAAGATTGGAGGGTATACCTTAGTGCAGTAGGATGAAATAGCTCTTCAAATTAAAACAATTTGTTTGCTAAATCTCATCACAAGATGTAGCAGGCTTAATTTAATAAGTTCTTGTAAGTAGCAGGAGTGTGGTTGGTTATTGAATAGTATGTCATATTGCCACCTTTTGTCTGCCAAGCCTAAATATTTCCTTAGCACTTTGAAAAAGCTCTAATTTTTGTTGATATAGTGCAGAGGAGCATTTTGCTGAGGTGGTTTGAGATGTTCCTGCCCTTAGCTCTCTGTTCCAGCCAGATGCCAGCTATTATTCACCCTGCAAAAAATCTTAGCAGAAACATGCAGCTGCCCTGCAGCCAGTTCTGTGTCTCGATGTCTTCACTTAGCAAAGGTGAGGTTACTGGAAAACACTGGAAAAGTCCACCCTCTTAGCGTAATCTCCTCATCACTGACAGTTTCAGCTACTATCAAAAGTTAAGATGGAAAATAAAGAACAGAGACTTTTGGAAACAATGAAATCGGGGCTGTTCACACTTTAAAAGTTAAAGCTGTAATTCATTTGCCCTGTATATGCACATTACGATACTGTCTCATAGATTAAGGTAGATGGTGACAGGGACAGGAGCCGAATCGCTCACTCTTGTGTTCCCAAGAACTGAAATAAATGACCATTATCTGTTCTTCTTGCAGCTAGTCTCCTGTGATCCTTCTCACTGAATAAAGTGGTGGTCCGTTGAGACAAATATCATGTGTTCGTGTAGTTGAAGCCTTCAGTCCGTAGTCATTGCCATCCATATCATTCATATCGAACCAATGTACGGACAGAGACTTTTTAAAGATAACAGGAACAGTGCGGTTAGAGATAGTGAGCCCAGCGGGACATTTGTTCTCAAGTGGCAATTTATAGGAGGCAAGACAAGGGGGTGGCAGCCAAGTAAGGCTGCAAAACTCTGTGTGTTGGCCACTGTGTCCAGCTTAAAGGGGAAGGAGCAACATTAATCTTTGTATTTCCTAACTTAGCATATTCAGTGTTAAAGACAATATATTCTTTTAGCACTTTTAAAATATCTTTTAAAATTTAAATTGACTTGTTTTAGCACATCTAATTCCATTTAGTAGATCCTCAGGGGATGGTCAGCAGTACTGGTTAAAGATATTTAGTTACATATGACAGACTTCTACTAACCGAATCCAAGCAGTAGCTGGTAGCATTAATACAGACCAGCCGCTAGGTGAAGGTTTGAAACACCCTTGGGGTTGTTCAGATTGGTGTGCGTTAATCATGGGAGAGTAATGTGAATCACAAACTGTGGGTTCAGTTCTTGGTTGTTTGAAGGGAATCATCTCCAGATTTTTCCAGACAGGTAACGTGGTGGAGAATTTAGCGAGCTAGTCTTTTATGGCTAACCTTACAATTTGCGCTATTACTGTTGGGGTATATGGTACTGCGTCGTCAGGGGACCTCTTTCCCATGGAGGGATTACAGGACTGGCGTCTGCAATTCTGGCCTTGTGTGGACAACCCAGCAACAGTGTGGGCTGGCGAGAAACCAGCAGGCCATGGTAGAAAGAGGAGTATCAGAGTTGTGGGCTTCCTAATGGGTAACCTATAGCTAAGAAGGTACCCCTCACCTCTATTTAAGTGTTTTTTTTCTTGGTCAATGGATGATTTCTGCTATGAATCTCCACCCAGAGCTGTGACTGGTTCCTCACAGTGTGCTTGTTTTACTCGGTATTTATAGAAGAAGTTTTGGGGGCTGAAGCATGCTCAGTGCAGATGGGATGCCCAGTGATATTTTCAGCAATCTTCCATTAAGTTTTGCCAAGTACTGTGTGTACAAATGATATATATTGTATCGAATCCTATCGTTTGCCCAAAGTAGGGGATTTTCATGGGGACAGTATGAACTTTGCCAAATTATGTTTTCCTTACTCCTTTATGTAAATATATAGGATACTCTAAAGAAACATTTACAATATTAATTCAAACTCTTGCAAAGTTTTTTTTCCCCTCACCTAATTCTCAGAAACAGTTGAACTGCCTATACCCAAAACCAAACGGAAAAAAAATCATAGCTGGTTAGAGTAAATCAGGAAAATTTAGCCTGAGTGGTTGTGTTTGGCAAAATATAAGCCACTGAAAACATGTTTTCATGGGAAAACATTAGACAGCCTGATTTATCAGGATCACTTACGATTTACCTGTTCGCTTAATCGGGTTACTTTGTAAATTGGTGTTGATTATGGTCAAATCACATTATAGTTTTATTTTGGATTTATAGGAAGCATCTGGAAATGCTGGAATTTATTCATACTTCATGACTTTTAACCATTTTATCTCATCCCTTACATTTTTGAGAATCTCATAGTAATCAGCCACTTTTATCTTTGCAGTAGAAGTAGGAAAACATCTCACAGAGGGAAAAGAACACATTGAGAGATTAAATCCTTACTAAGCTTTACTCGGGAATTGGATGCTGAATTCCCTCCTACACCTAAATCAACCTGAATTCACTGAAAAACTGAAGGCTTACAATAATCCCTAGGAAACGTCCAGCATTTTCTGTGACATTTAATTCTCTTCTAGCTGCTTTGCATGACAGGCAAGATCTGCTAGGTATTGCTAATTAGAAAACATTAAAGAAAATGGAGAATGATGAAAAAAGTGCCGTTTAGGGACAAAACTGTTATAGAGGACAAAGAATTTATTTTAACTGAGCTTCCGACGAGGAAGGAGAGCTGGAGGTGCTTTTACAAACATGATATCACTTAGAATTCAAACTCTCTATACGCTATGGTCATGCAAACGTTTAAATGAGAATAGCCATTATATAGGACACAAGCAGTCTTCTGGATCTGAGTGCTTAAGTCTTTCTTAGTGTCTGTATCTATGTGTGTATCTGGAAGGCACAGGCAGTTAACTCTTACACAGCAGGACACAGGAGAAGGGCTCAGTCCAGCAAGACTCTGGGCACTCGGCCTCAGTCCAACAGCGCGCTGAAACAACTGCCGAAAGTCAAACGCCGGTGGGTCTAGTGTGACATGTTTATAGTCAGAAAGCACGCTTGACTCGTTTTGGGGGCTTGGATCTGAGGGATCAGCACTCCACAGGGCAGAGTCTGCGTTAATTGATACGCTTGTGTATTGTTCACTTTTTGATCCTAAATATTTTTACTTTTTTTTCCAATTATTTAGGTAGCCCATAGATATATGTCCAGTACTTACTTCTCTAATGAAGGGTTATTTTGGCTGCCCTGTAGCTAGTAAGAAGGCTGTATCCTTTGAAAACTGTCTGACAAGCGCCTATTTTTCTGATGTGTTTTATGTTCCGCCCAAATTTATCTATCTGGCTGATAAAGAGTCATGCAGTAATTTAGTTTGATGGTTATCTCCTGCTAATAAAAATCTTTTTCACTGTGTCTTTAGCTGGAGATGTGCACACAGAATCGTCAGCTTGCCAGAACTCTCCTGGATTTAAGCACAGAAACGCAGAGGCTGAGGAATGAAAATGAGCTGTCAGCAGCTTCCGAATCCAAAGCGCCCAACGTTGCCATGAGCCCAGAATAATAAACTGCGTTTCAGGACATAAACCCTGCAGATGAAATATACATTCCACGAACGATTCTGACAACAACGTTACGGATAAGCTGCACAAGCTTCTCGATCCAATTTGGTAGCAGAACGCACGGCATTGTTTGAAAATTACAGAAATATTTTAGAGAGGGTGGAGGGGAAAATGCTGCTTTTATATTAGAGTTTGAAGCTTCACTTGCCTTTTGGGGAGATAGCTGGCTTTTCAAAAAGAAGGTGTCTAGAAATTGTATATGTGTATAGGAAGGGATCTTTGCCTTATTCTCCAATTATTCTTCAGGTATTTAGTTTTGTACAATTTTTAGTGCTGAATACTACCTTTAAAAATCCACGTGCATTTCACTTGGCTACCTGTCACTTCGGGAATTCATTAGTTTAAATGTTTTTTCCTGTAAAGTGAGAAATTTTAACTGTGCCTTCAAATTAATTCTTTATATGCCGTCCTTTTTAAAAACAAACTACATTTAGTAGCATTTTAATTTTCTCTCCCAGATTCAAATAGCTAACAGATCTGAGGATGATTCATAAATGCAGACATGTCTAGGCAATAAAAATCGGTGCATATAGAATGCATATGACTGTAAAATTTAACTTTTAGCAATAAAAAACCAATGTCTAAACACAGAGTAGAAGCTGACATTAACCCTTTTACTGCAGTCAGGGCTTTTTAAGAGGTTTGTAGAATGGACACATTTTATATTCATTTTGGTAAATGTGCCAAGGAAAAAAGCTTATGCTGATCCACAAGAATAAAATCTATTAGAAACTTCATATTCACCTCCAATTTTTTTTCTCAGGGAGGATGACAAGGACAGGCAGGCAGTTTGGCATTTAGAATTTGTACTTTTGAAACTTGTGGGTTTTTCTTGCAGATCTCTGGGCTTTTGCAGATGTTCAAGAAAACTGCATGCTGTATTCCAGTACTTGGAATACTTTGCACCTTACTCCTGACAGCCTGCCTTCTTTGGCAGCAGTGATATTCCCAGGCCGAACTGTACCCGCAACAGAGGAGTTTTCAGTGCAGGGAGCGGGGTGCAAAGATAAGCTTTGCGGGGTTAGAGCAAGCTGCCGAGGTGCCCGGAGGACATTCCTTCCAGCCTGCCCTGGAGCACTCCCTGAACCTCCTTTCCGCTCTGGCTTTGGGGGTTACGCTGAAAATCTTGTTATGGGGAAAAAAGGAAACAAATGTTATATATAATGTTATCTATAACACCAACGATTTATTGCTGAAGTGAAATCTTAAAGGTCAAATCCAAAAATCATTGTTAGTCCAGACCTAATCATTGCAGGAAAAATAAAAAAAGAAATTAACACTTCTATACAGAAAAAGCCTCACTAATAACAACAATACTGTTAATATTGCTATCAACACCCTTCCTAGTTCCCACCCGTTTTGCTGGTGTTACGCTCACCCTTGCACTGCCCCTCTGGGTCCTCAGGACGGGGGCTTCAGTCTGGTGAGGGGAGGGGCACAGCAACGTGACTGTCTTGTCCGGAGGAGTGCGGTGTTGATGGTTTCCTGTCGCTCATGCTAGGATCCTCTGGGTGTCATTTTTATATGTTTGCTAACATACTTACACCTTGCTCTTTTTTAACTGGTCTGTGAGTCCACGTAGCATCCAAGTTTGCTATATCATCGGATGCATTTTAAATATGTTAGTTACTTGTTCTTTGTTTTCTTCGTTACTCCTAAAACTGTTTTTATCCAGCTCCAGATCTCCGTTACTTTAACTGATCACTGGTGAGTTGTTTATAGCCATGAGGTCTCCAGTGCCCCATCTCATCTCACCCCGTACCTGTATGCTCTTCACAGCATCCTGGGTCCGCACTTCTCAAGGCCTCTGCTGTTGTACCAGGCCAGTATTTCTCTAGGCTACACGACTGTGTTAGAGTTATAAATATCTTATTCTATACAGAATTAACTGCTTGTTACTACTATCTGTGTAAAACTATGGTTGTACTATGCAAAGATAAGCAAAGTTAAACAAGTTAGCCATAGCCACCTGGTCAGAAGAAAACTAAGTAAAACTGAGAAAACCAGGTTTTCTCTTTTTTTTTTTTTTTTTTTTTCCCGAGAAAATAAAGCTCCAGGCAGGTCAAGACAAGTTCAGATAGGGCAAGCTTGACAAGCCTCTGGTCTGAGGCCTTGAAAACTCAGTACAAACCTTATGGCCTGTTGCTAGCAATGGCAATACTGCATTGCTGGGCTGCAAGAGACCACGCTGTAGAGCTCTTGCTCATTACTTCACATTAGCAAGACTTCTGGCCTGGGAGCTGAAGGAAGCAGAGAAGCCAAATTAATTCACATTCTGCTACCATCGCACTTAGATACTTCCTCTTTAAACGACTGTGAGTGTTATCTCCCTTTGGCAACGGTAGGCCCAACCTCAGTTTTGATGGGAGTAGCTAACAAGCAATTTGCTTAAATGGGTACATATTCAAGGCCCAGTTTGTCTCTGACTGATGGCAATAGCAATCCGCCATTTACTTCAAAGAAAGCTAGACGGATGTTACTCAGTGACAGTAATATTGCCTCTCTTCGTCTATGCTGCAATTAAAATAGTAGAAGTATTGCACAGATCTCTGTAACTGCTTCAGTGTGTAATGCATGTCTTTTCTTTTTGAAAGATTTCACCTTAAAGTAAAGCTGAAGGCATATCAGTTTATCTTCCATAATAAGTAAATTTAAAAAAACCCACCAACCTTGCATTGGTCCTTACTTCAAATGAAAACTAGCATCCAATACAAAAGCAGAAATAAGATGTTCTGTTATATCTTTAAGAAATGTTTTCATTACCTTTTAGCGTCCAGATGGGTGAAACTCTAGAATGGCAGACTCTTTACAAGTGCAGATATCACGGTAATAAAAATGAGGAAGTTTGGATGCCAAAATTAATGAGATACAGAAACTCTAATATTATATTCTGTATGGCTGAAGATGTACGTGTTTTCAGCGAGGACAGGACTGCTGTAAGACTCCTTTTTTAGTTAAAAAATTCTAATGTGGCAGAGGATAACAGACTATTGGGTTTTTATTAGGCTATCTGAAACAACGCATTCCTCTTAGGCTAAGTTTTTAGTGGGATTTCTTTAATAGGTGCTGATGTCAACACTGCAGACTGTGGTGTCAACACAGTGTGCTTGGTTACATTCAGGATTAGTGCATTTGGGTGAGATCGTACTGCCCTCTGCTACCCATATGTGACATTTTCTGTAGACAGGCAAAGCTCTTAATGCTTAGATCTAACATCTTTAAAACTACAGTACAGAACTTTGCTAAAAACACTGTAGTGTTTACACATCTTTAATACTTCTACATCTTAAATACTGCGTGCGTATTAACAAAGGATGCTACGTAAAGAAGATTTTCTTTTCAAAATAAAAAATCATATGTTGTAAGCATGGGAGGGGGACTCATCAGCTTTGTGCACATTGTAAGTAGTTGCATTTAATGAGCAATGATTTTTGCTGCCATCTACTTTAAAGGGACTCGTGCATTTCTTGAAAGCAATCCAATTAGCCTGTAAAACAAACGTGGGTTACTCTTTTATTTTTATTGCTGGTTTTGCCCTTAGCATGAGTGATAATGCTGTGGTTTTCAGGATAATTAGTATTGCACACACAGTATCAAAGTAGTCTAGAAGTAACTAGCAACAAGTGCCTGAGCTTTCAAAATGTAATAACTAGATATTTGTAGCACTATTTTTTTTTTACCCTCCTGCGTTATACATTTGTCAGTTAACCTTACTGCTAGCTCTCTGTATTTCGGAATGCAAACACCAGTCCCTTTCTTTTAGAAATTCGTTCAAAATGGAAAGGGGAGAAACGCTGTGATGTGGCTTCCGTGCTGACTGCGGCACCATTGCTTCTCTAGCTCTTTCAGAGCTACTGAGTTGCAAAGTCACCCTCTTCCCTGAGAAATCAGTGTCTCCTGCTCTGAGACTCACTCTCTTTACATGGTTGCTCCAGTCCTGACAGTTCTGCCTTTCACGAACCGTTACTACTGACATGCCCAAAGTGACCATCCTCTATCTGAACAACACTCTTAATTCTTAAGAGTAGGAATTTTCTGCAGTATCTGTGCTGGTGGGCTAATTAGAATTTAGCGTTCCCCTGATGAAAGCTAGTTTCAGTCTGAACAACTTCTTGAATAGACTTAAAACTGCTTAGGGCATCTCAGCTCTGTCTGGCCTCTGCTGGCCATCACGTTGCCATAGCCCTGCCAGCAGAGACATCTAGCGGGGACAGCTCCGACAAGGGTTGCTTCCTGCCTAGCTCAAAACCTTCCCGAATGACATAAGTTAAATGAAGCGAAGCATTCTCTGAAAGCTCGGTTGTGCCTGGATCAGGGGTTTTGCTGGCATTGCTAGGTGTGATTTTTCCACGCTTATAGTCAACATAGCTGTGCTAGTAAAAAGCTGTGGTAGAGACATGGCCAGATTCCCTCAAACCCTTGTACATAGCCTTGGCAAAACAAGCCTTAAACTTTTTTAGAGCCAAGACAACTATACCCTTCCCAATTAATAGTCCAGTCTTTGTTCTCTCAGTGAACCAGCGTTGCTCATGCGGGGTTGGCTTACCTCTCCAGTCACTGCTCCATGTCCCACTTGAAATAATTTCATGGAGCGCATATCTACACTACTGACTGTCTACATGCATCCTGTGCTTTTGAAAACTAAATCAAATCCTGTGCACATACTTCTTCTAGCATGTGAAAAACCTCGGTTGCCTTTGTCCGCAGTACACGCTTGTACTCGTATACTGTGCTGGATTTACTGGCAGTACATTGCTGGTTTCCTACCCCTGTATGTAGAACGGGTGCTGAAGTATTGGGTTCCCGGTCATGACTTAACAATCCTTATACAGAAATTATGTTAGCATATGACTTGTTTTTGCCCAGGATGATGCTTAATTTTGTCCATGGTATAGTACCTGAATACATTAGAAAACATTTTTGTGTCTGCACTTGGTGTGTTTGTGATGTGTTGCCAATCTTTAGAGAGAAAAAGACACTAAAAGAACTTTGGAGCATTGTTGAGATATGCGTAGGTGTTGGATGTGGCGGCAAAAAAGAAGAAACACAGAGACAGATGTGAAAATTTTGATGGATACTGTGATCAGGATGGATGGATACTGTGAACCCATAGATAATGGGTTCAAATCCTTTTGCAGAGATGAGATAAAGACCAGTAGCTGCAGAACTTTCCATGAAAAAATTAGATAGAGATGAATAAGAGACATTTGCCCCAACCACATTTAGTGCCACAGGACCACCTCCTAGTGCTCCTTCTCTTACTAGTCTCTTGCTCATTTGAATGGGAAACCTTACCATACATTAGTAAGCCAAGTTCAGCCAACAAGGCAACTGCACGGATAATTCACTGACACTTTCAGCACTTGCATAAATTTGGTGATCACTGGAGAAGCAAGGCAGTCAGCTTCTCAAATTTGTTTGAATGCAGGTTCCAAATGGCATGCGATTATGCAGTCTGCTGAAATCCACACCGGTGTTTTTACATGAAGTGAACAACAAACAGTGATAAAATCCCTTAACTGACTTACACAACTGAAAGATATTCATAAAAGTAATGCAAGCCCAGGACGAAGGAAAGCAAGGGAAGTAGCAGGGTTTACATTATGTCAGTCCTATTTTCAAGAACAGCTGCTAAAGCATGTTGTTCATGGACAGCGAAACTTCATGGGCTTTTTCACACTGATATTTAACAAGGTTTTCAGTGCTAATCTTGTTCAGTTCTATAAACACCTGGTGTGAGGGAAGAGGTAATTCACAAATAGTGTATTGAACCTCATTAATCAGATTATATAAATTGGGAGACTTGATTTATTCACTACATAAAAGAAAAACTTACATGCAATTCTCTGTACTTTCAGATTGGAAATGCGAGGATATGTGTTAGTTCCTTGCTATTTTTTAATATTTAAATAAAACCTTCTGGCAAAGCCACAGCAGCTTCTCTTGTTTTTTTCTTTCTGCTTTTCACAGTTAAGGAGACAGCAATGTGCGCTTAACAAAAACACAGAGTTTTATTAGGCTTAGACATATGTGCAAAAGACAGCTTGAAGAACAATGCTTTCAAGGTATGCTAATCATCAGCAAGAAGTAAATATGTTATTGGCACAACAACCAAGAGCAGATAAGGCCTTCAGGAGATGCTTAGGCTTTGAGACATGCTGCAGTGCAGCTCCGCATAAAGGGTATCTCACAGCCTCCAAGGGAGCTGCTGCATCTACTTGTCACAGCCCAGCACCACTCTCGGTCAGTGAGGCTGAATGACGTAGCTCTCGGACGTCTCGTTCTGAAGTTCACTTGCTTAGCACAAGTAAGCTCCAGCGTGTGATACCAGCAGCTCAACTGTGCCCAGACAATACATCTCACAGAACGGGCTTTGGCTGTAGCCACCATAGACGATGAGGTCCAAACCCCACTGCTTGTCAAGAGCTGCCTGATACCACCCCACCTTGGAAGTCACTGCTCTTCCACAGCTGCTGATGCATCTTCAGCATGTGAAAGCTCCGGACCTCAGTTCAGACCTGGGTTAGAAGAAAACAGAAAAATCCAAATTCTAGCTGGAGTTTTGACTAAACCCTCAGTAAGCAAATATGTAAGCCGCTGTTCCAATAGATTTGAGGGGTCAGCATCCTCTGAGAGTGGGAGCGGTGACAGGCAGCCGGGGTGGTGGGAACCGAATGAAGCCTGGGAACAGTGTTCTCTTCACGCTAAACAATGTGTCTATCCCTGGTATAACTCTGAGTTAAACAGCTCTCACCCTAAAAAAGGAAAGATATCTTCATTTACTGCTTAGTTGTTGTGTACATTTATAAGTTTGGACTACGACAACACCTTGAGAAATAAGGACGTAACTAAATATTCAGGTTCTTCAATCAGAGAATATACTTGATTTTTTTTTTTGCTATATTTGAAAAAGTTTTTGAATTGCATACTAGTCTAAGTTGCTCTATTATGGTAAACAGATGTCAAATCTTCCTGTAAAAAAAATTATTATAAGTACATTTTAGGGGTGGGTAGCTGTTGTCCTTGATGTGTATATAGCA